CTCTCTCTCTCTCTCTCTCTCTCACATTCACTCACTCAGTCTCTATCCGCTTCTCCTCGTTTCACATACTTTCGGTTGAGGCGCGCGTTACACGCATGGAAACTCGCTCCGGTGGCTTCGGACGCGATAGCATCGAGGAAACATCGTTGTCCGATGCGTTGCAAACCAAGGTTATCGTCTGGTTCGGTCTGCTGGCGTTTCCTTCCTTCTGTTCGCGGACAGAAGAACCCAACCCTTTGGTCGGTCGAAGGAAGGGTTTCACCCTCGGTTAGCCGCGTACACGCGTCTCTTCCTCGACGAGGCGAGCTGAGCAGGATGCTGAGAACGAGGACAACGAGGGCTGTCAGCTGACTTTTCAACCCCTCGTGGCGACGTGGTCGTCCTCGCCAGCAGGACACACACGCCTCTCGCGTTTTGCACTCTCACGCACTCTCACACACACGGGCGTTTTTCGGATGCAGCTGCACCCGCGCGCGGGGTAGTGGCCGGGTTACTACTGCCGGTGCTCTTTGTTCTCTCCTCGGAGGGAAGCGGACCACCACTCTCTCCATCCGTCTCCGCTCCTTGGCCGCCTCCGCCGCCATCTCCCTACACCTCCTCGCCCTCGTTCCTCCAGTACAGACTTGCGCCATGCAACCCCCGACAGCTCCGACCCTCCACAACCGCCGGGTCGATATCAACCACCACAAAAGCCCCAGTGCCGTCCACGCCAGGCCCTACCTGCGCCGCTCTCTCTCTCTCTCTTTCTCTCTCTCTCTGCCCTACCTACGCGTACCTACCGACCTAGCTGCACCCTTCGCAAAAGCCACCGCCACCACCGACCATGTCCGCTCGTTTTCCGTGAATTGCTCGTTTTTGATGTCGGTCACCCGATGCTTCTCGCGCACGCCGATCCGCCTGTTTCCACTGCACCGATCGAGAGCGACTTCGATCAACGGGCTCCCTCCCGCAGCTGTCGTCCTTCCACGATCGATGAACACAATTCACCAGCTGAAAATTACCGTGGTGTGTGTAAGTCGTGTACGTCTCTCGTAATCTTTCGACAATCTCAATTGTCATCGCCATTTCTCTGTCTGAATTCGTCCCTTCGTTACTTTACCTGCTTAGTCGGTTAGTACGTTCCCATCGCGTACACCGTAGACCTCGCCTGTAAATTTTCACGATCAAACGGCACTCGACTGACTTACACCACTGTGATTGTTAACTGCGATGATTACGTTCGAAGAGGCTGAACTTTCGATCTTTGCGTTTCATAGAAATTCGCCGAAGTTCCCGCGACACAGAGCGACTGTGTACTCGTTTAACAGAGATTTCACTCCTTTCCTTTCAACACGTTTGTTGCAAAAAGTACAATTCAACGCGGACAGACACTAGTACCATTAATCAATTCCTGATTGACACGACTGATGTAATCTTCGTTATCGTTCGAGATTGTGCATTGTTTGCTGTGACGCTTTCAAGAAAATACGTATAGTCCGTTCTCCTGTAATTGTACTTTGCACCAGAGTGACTGATCCAATGGCTCTCAGCTTATATTCTACTCGTGTTACGCAAATCAATCTGCTAACCGTCGCGTCGAGTCTCTGTTT